CCAGTGCCAGTGCCAGTACCAGTGCCAGTACCAGTGCCAGTACCAGTGCCAGTATCAGTGCCAGTATCAGTGCCAGTACCAGTGCCAGTACCAGTGCCAGTACCAGTGTCATTACCGGGAGAAAGTTGTGCCGTCTGTGCAACCTGCAGGTCACTGACACGGTTCGATAAAGATGGCTTATCCAGGGAGACGGTCCTCACGGAGAAGAACACAAAAGGAGGCAAAGTGTCAGTCGCAGAAAGAGGAAGCTGGGCATCTGCAACTGCTGACGATTCTGGGGAGACGCTTTGTGGAACCACGGTAGACAATAGGGCCGAAGCAGTTGCCATTGACTTGTCAGAAACTGAATAGACACCATCCGCTTCCTCCCCAGCTGAGCGACGAGGAAGATGCAAAATTGACTCCGTCTTTGATAGCCAAAGATGACGTTCAACTCGATGCACCTCGAGCTTCGACTCGAACTCGGGCCTGGACAGAACTTGAGACGGGGCTTGATCAGAGGCAGAATCTCCAGCTGCAGGCTCTGGTGCAAACTGATCATCCCCCAAAAGTAGATCTCGGAGAATGGGATACCGAGAGCTGGATCGATGAGGAGAAATGCCCGGGGCAGAGGAAATAGGAAGGGTATTCGGGGTTGAATTCAGGGAGGAATACTTGGAAGAAGAAGCTGATGAATCAGGAGGTGATTCAGGAGAGGAAGAATGGGGATGCCTAGGGTGGCCAGGAGAACCACCTGGAGGAAGAGAGAACTTTTCTGCAGCTGAGAGCCAAGAGTCGTTCGTTGTCATGGCGCCAATGGCAACCGACTCCTCAACCAGCAAGGAGTTTTTTGTAGCAGGGGGATTTCCCCCTCCACCCACTGGTAGCGGAAAAGGCCCAGTCCATGGAATGGGAGACGGGGACACATCTGCTGCAACAGCGTCGGGATAATTACCCAATGACATGTTGTCGACATGGAGGAGACCTGGAAGAGGCAGGGAAGAAGCTGGAGATCGGTTGCTTGGATTAGGGGATGGTGAAGGAAGAACCGTTTCATTTCCAGAAGAGACAGACAAGTCTTGTGTGACCGAGGAGTCACTCAAAGAGGCCAGGGTAGCGGGTGAGAGAGAGAGAGAGGGAACGGGAGAGGGAGGTGGAGGGAGAAAGGGAGAGGGAGGTGGAGGGAGAAAGGGAGAGGGAGAGGCAGGGGGAGAAGGAGAGAGCGAAGGGGAGTTGGCAGTGACCTCTTCCTCAGAAATTCTTGGGCTTGGAGGAGAAGGACGATGACGACTTCCACGCGTCTGAGATAAAGAGGACTCTGTACCCGTTCCATTACTGGGTGTCTCAGCCTCAGACACGTTTTCAGCTGGATAGAGAGGGTTAGGAATAGAAACAGTGTTCGCCAGAATTGCCTGCTGCTGTGAGAGAGGAGGTGGGGGTTCTGAAGCGAAGACTGGCAGCTGAAGAGCGTCAATGATCGGCACGATATCCAGAAAACGTACACCTTCCTCATTAGACGTGGAGGGGTCGTCCTTTGTCTGCGTTATGGAAGAGATGGACTCTGAGTTACCTGCAGTAATTGTCGTGTTCCCGTTAATAAGTTCAGTGAAGAGAATGACAGAACTCCATGGCTGCACCCTTAGCCGGGATCCAACTAACTGGCCCGTCACATTGAAACTCCGTTCTCCTGCAGCTAGCCCGACATCTACCATCTCTCCCAGAGCATTCACAAGCAGACGGTCTTGGGGAGGATGGAATGCCTTTGTCCGTACCTCGTGCACCGCTGCTCGCCGGATATAGACCGTTGCATTCATCGGAATCATTAGTTCTATCGACACCGCCTCGAAACTGCCATTTTGCCAGTGGAAATGCTGCACATCTGTGTAATCGTTTTCGTACGGACTTGCTTGATAGACCTGATCACTCCCAGCCTAAGACCCAGGGCCATTACCCGTTGCAATCGAGTCCAAGATGTTGACACCCAAATCCCCCCCCCACCCCCTCTCCCCCTCCTCCCCCGGGCAATTCAATCCCATCCATAACAAAGGTCCCATGGTCCCACCGAACCAGATTCCCAACAACAATGCAGTCCCAACCCAAATTCAATCCCATCCATAACAAAGGGTTCCCACAGTCCCACTGAACCCGATTCCCAACGAAAATGCAGTCCCAACATAAGCCAATCTCAAGCACAACCCCATCACACAATAACCAACACGAGGAAGTTCATTGCACCCAGTCAGAAAAGTCCAAAGGAATCCCCATGCACTTGGCTTTGTCCTATTCTGGGGAGCATCAGTCCTGTTCCTTTTCGGTCTCTGCATCTGGATTTGAATCTGGGCCTGCACTTGGATTCGAACTCAGGTCTGTATTTCAACAGTCCATGGGTGCACTGACTGAGCTAACCTCGTTGGTACTCTAGTTCGGGGGGTCACTCGTTCTTTCCTTCTGGTCCTTTTTACTGCTGGTCTGTTCTTTCTTTCTTTGCAGTCCTTTTTTAAAAAAACTACCTTGTTTTAAACAAAAAAGAGAAAAAAATAAAGGAGATGACAACATCACTTATTGTGATGGTTCCAATGTATCCTGTGGGGTGCATCAGCTGGGTTTCTTGCCTTGGCAAGTCGAATTGTATTACAATGTGAAGGAAGGGAAAAGGGGGAGTACGTTATGAAGGTTGGCGCTAGTGCTGTGTTAGCGATAACGGAGCGTCGCTAACGCAGCGCTAGTGCCGTCAGGGGAGCGACATCTGTGCAACGGGGGATCGCATTCGTGCTGCTGCGAATGGCGGCGCTCTGTTAGAATCCCCCCCCGTTACGACCGCCTCATGACAGAATTGTTCCTAGCAGACATCTCTTCAAGGTTCAATGACTAGTCCCTCGGCCTCCCCGCCATAGCACCTCAGGTCCACCATTCATAACGGGTGAGGCAGGAACAGGTCTTGGAATTCAGATGCTCGTCCGATCGGCAACGAGGCTTCAACATGAGTCCAGCCGTGGAACACCAAGTGACAATCCCTCCCGGGGGGGTATTGCCTCCAGTTGCTGCCCCCCTTCCCACCTGACATGACCCATCCAATCTCTTCTCCCCCCCACCAAATGTCTTGATGGCCTTTAGTCTTCAAAGTTCAAGCACCTTCTTTCCGGGATGCCCAGCCTTAGGCTTTTGTTTCCTAAAAAAAGGGACCATTTTCTCCATTGGTGTGTGTCATCCTTTGTGCAGGGGCCCTATGTTAAACCACCAGTACTTCTAGAGTTGTGCCCGTTAATGCGCCACAATTTTAGGAAACGTGTGGGCTACTACAGGAGCGCCCAAATTCATCTGACTAGAAACGTCTCTATTCTATTTTTTTCTGCGGCCGATAGCTGGGCCAAGTACTGGTGGTTTAATCTTCTCTGTATCATTCCAGTTTTAGCGGATGTCCTGAAGGACTGATACTGCATCGAGTAGAGGTGAATTGGTGTTGGAATAAAGGGCGTCGCTCCACTACTGCACATTCAGCATGCATTTGGACGCCTTCTGGACCAGGTGCATTTGGAGGGTCTGACATTTCGAATGTATCAGGACATTTTATTTTTTAATCCTCACATTGTTGTGTTTATCAATAAGCCTATGCATTTATTTATTTTTTTCAACTTTTTTTAACAAAACACAGTATGCATTTTTTTTTTTAACTTACTACGCATTCTTTTTTCAAGTACATTTCCTTGTGCATTTTCATTTCTGATGGGAAAAAAAGCCTTACGGCAAGGGTTGCTTCAACGGCCAGGACCAGCAGCTTAGCTCACCAACTAGCAGCAGGAATACCAAGCACATTAAATCACCCGCCCAAGAATCCCGCTTCTTATGACCAAAGTCCCAAGCCGTCAAGACTGCATATTAGGAAAGATGCATGACCCCAATCCAAAGGAATATAAACAACAACAAACGACAGACAAACATGTGACCACCAAGCAAGCAGCAACAATTATGACTCAAGGCTCGATGGTCGAGAGTGAGCAAAGATCAAAAGTCCCAAACACTGGTGGACATACCTTCACACCAATCCATCCAACACTAGCTGACGATGCAACTTCGAAACGGGCCAGATACTGAGTGTCTGGTGAAAATAGAGTTCCATTTACCGCAATGACGTGCATCACAATCGCAGAGTTTATCCGTGATGGCTCCAACTTGAGGCACGAGTCAGGGCACACGGGGCTGGCTATGACGAAGGTCTTTTTGACATCGTCCGGCCTGACAGTCCAGATGAGCATGGTGTCTGTGGCTCGACCGGTGTAATCTAGGCCAATGAGATTCTTGCCGAGGCGATCGAAGTCCACTGGAGATTTGTGGCGAAGCTGACACTCCCGATTGCCCATCTGCTGACGGCCAAGGGATTTCAAGAAGGCTGTAGCACCATTAGGGATGTACGGGCTGCATAGAATGTTCTTTCTGAAGATTAAGCCCAACAGGTGGGATGATGACCCACTTGCTTGCAATGGCGGTTGCTGTGGGTGGTTCTGTGCCACAATCGGTGCCCATGAGAGATCGGCAGGGAGGTAGAGTTGATTGCCCTCGAAGCTGTTCCAGAAGCCAACGGAGTCTGTACGGGCGGGATTGTACTGCACGTTGGGCTCTCCGGCATCAAAGAACACGTTTCCTAGCATCCTCGTCCACCCTGCGCCATCTACAACAATTCCTCCCCTTCCACAATGCGCTATGGTGTTGTTTTGGAGACTGGAGTTGCTTCCGGCAACATCAAGGAAGACACAAGTCGCTCTGTACTGACTTGCATGCACATGCACTTGAGGACGCTTCTTCTTGCCCATCCTCATGTCCAGACTATCGTCGTTTCCAAAGGACCGCATGATGATGTTGTTGTACAGCTCGATGCGTCCCCTCGCCGACACTCCTCCGGTCTGGCTCATTGCACCGGTACTGTCCTTCGACCTTGAGATGTCCTCACCAAAGGCCATAGGATGGTGTGTAGAGACCACCATGAACATGTCCCGAATGAAGTTCCCGTGCACATCACCTCCATGGTCTAGATCTTGAAGCGCCCACCCTCCCATTCTCCATATTATGTTCTGCTCCACCACAGTGCCCATTGTGGATTGTTTCCCACTGGACACCCCCGCAGGGCCACCCACCAACAAGCCGCGGACCCTCCCTACATCCTTGATCAAGCTACGACGAATATTGTTTCCCTCTCCTTCAATCAGGACCCCATACATCCCACATCTTGCAAGGGTGCACCTCTCAATGACTGAACTGGTTGCTTTCAGCGACACGCACGCATGATCCACGTCCTCTACCTCAGTGTCAACCACGTAGAGGTGTGCCGCACTCATTTCACTTGTGGTTGCGACTCCTGATTTGGCGTACTTCTCTATTCGCAAGCCATCAATAGCAAGTCCATCCACTTTCGATACGCAGATCCCATGCTCGTACACCACAAGCTCGAGGACTCCTCCGCCACCCCTTGTTGTTCCTTCCTCCTCCTCCTCCTGGTCCTGCTCCCCGGCCTCCTTCTTGTTGTCCTCATCAAACAACAACATTGAGGTGGCAACTGAGGCTGTCGGGGGCATAATTCTGATTGTAGTATACATAGGGTCGTAAAACCATTCTCCAGGAGCATCCAACTCACGGCTAACATTCTGCACAAAGAACCCTCCTCCTTGCGAGCAAAGGTAAGGATGAGGCAAAGGGCCCTCAACTCCACCATACACCTTCACAACTGCTTCATCCAAGCCAAAGCGGCCCCATCTCGGTGGCATGAAGCCTGTGATAATGCCGCGACTGTAAGATGATGGTGAGCTGCGAAACACAATCTGGCCACCTTTCCAGTACCCCACTGTCCGATTCGCAAATTCTACCTCCTTGACATAGAACTCAAGTGGTTGTAAACGACACGCCGCGAATCTGAAGAACACTCCGGTCAACGGTTCTCCAGGAATTTCACTCCCTGGGACCGGGATTAAGTTAGGACTTCGGGCATTATTTTGTCGCACGCCATTCAGGAATGCTGCGTAAACCGGAGGTCCTGGTTGACTTGGCGGTTGATCTGTTGAGTCGGAATAATCAGGATCCTCTCCTGCTATTAGCCGGAAAGCAGCATCCTCTCTCAAAGATACTTCTTTAAGGCGGCTACCGTTGACTCCACCGTCCCAAGCATCCCTAAATGGCCCATCCACCCGGATAGCCCCACTGATCACTGGCCTCGGCAGGTCAGGATTCCCAAAATTACTCAACCTTATATTGACCAGAGGGTCCATTCGATTACACAAGTTCAGGCTACCTCTGAATGTGTCACCCCTTTCAAAGAGGATTGTGTCCCCAGAGCCTAAGGATGGGTTATGCCCATTGAAAAGCTGATTGACAAAGGTGAGGGACTGCCAAGGGGTGGCTTCCTTCTGTGCCTCTTCCAGCGTGTACGTGTCTTTCCCTCGCGACTCTGACACATAGAATATTCGCTGACCCATGCTGCACATCGCTGGCAGCAAAATGACAGAGAGACAAAGAATCCATATGGAACATCCATGTCTTCCATCATAGTATGGGTGCATGATGCCTGAATGCCTCTCATATTTCTCTTGCGCACCACTAACCACCAAATATCTATATCTGGGAATGTCTATAAGACTAGTATAAGTAGATATATCTATATCTTGATGTATAGCTATACTTATATCTAGATAGACATTCACATATAGATATATCTACCGTTTTGCATACAGATATATCTACCGGTCGCGATTAACCTGCCACACGCCACGCGATTGCAACTGGCCAGTTTTACTATAGCATCTTGCTTGCTGTTTTCCTCTAGCAACCTCGCCGCACTTTGCCATAGCAACTTTCCAGGCTACAGCAGCTGTGCAGCTTGGCTATAGGCAAGTCATAGGCACCGGATACCCATCTTTCCCCGAATAGAATGTACGGTCAGTATCCACGTATCTAGTCTGAAAGTCGCCCCCCCCATTACAGCTAAAATGCCCATACCTTCTATTTGGGTGACGACGGTTAGCACGTTGCTTTCATGATCGACATGTGCATGCTGAGGTGGTTGAAAATGTCAGCAACTTAGACAATCCACCACAATACTCTCCGTACGATATCGTATATATCGTCAAACAGTATATATAATAAACAATTTTCTGCTTGAGCCTTCAAATGGCCAGACGTCCGGAGCTCCCCCTTTCATCAAGAAGATGTTAGGAGAAAAAGACATTCGCCAGTTTCAAGCTCTGACTGCTTAAACCACCAGTACTTCTTCCTAAAGCCGTGCCCATTAACAAGCCACGATTTTAGGAAACGTACGGGCCACTACAGGAGTGCCCAAATTCATCCGACTAGAAACGTTTCTACTCTATTTTTTCCCGCCGCCGATAACTGGGCCAAGTACTGGTGGTTTAACCCCCTGTGCACGTTAACAAGCCGCGATTTTAGGAAACGTACGGGCCACTACAGGAGAGCCCAAATTCATCTGACGAGAAATGTTTCTACTCTATTTTTTTCCGCCACCGATAACTGGGCCAAGTACTGGTGGTTTAACCCCCCGAAACTCCATTCCCACGCATAAGTGGTCAAGGAGGCCTACATGCCCACAAATGCCTTCGGATACTTCTCATCTTCCTCCTCTTCTCCTCTCACGACCCACAATGAATCGCAACTGGATGATAGGTAATCTGGAATCGCAATCCAATCCACGATCCAGAGCAATGAGGGATGATGTTGCTGTGCCTAGTTCCCAGGTAGCTGTGCCTGGCTCTCAATTGGCATGAAAATTTCTTGATCAGGAAAAGCTAGAAACATTTGGGTATAGTCGGTCCTTCAGGACATCCGTTAAAATTGGAACGATACAGAGAAGATTAGCGATTGCCCCTGCGCAAGGATGACAAGCATACATCGAGAAATGGCCCAAATTATATATACATATATACATATATATTGTCACAAGAATATCAGAGCGCAAGAGCGAAAAAAAAAGAAAAAGAAAGAAGACAAGGAAAAAACGAATTCGTTTTTTTATCTTCTTCCTTATATTTATCTATCTATCTATCTATCTATCTATCTATCTATCTATATAGATATATAGATATATAGATATATATAATAAAAAAAGAAACATTTGGGTATGCAACTGTGACGCAATGACATTTTCGCGAACGTATCATGAACGACGCTGCCGTTCAGGTTGCAATAAATGAATGACGCGATGTTTCTTTCCGAAGCGACTGCAGCCCAACCATGGTCTCACGCACGTTCATAACAGCAACCTGCTGAGGATTCTGCAATCCACACCAACAGGGTGTACCATTTCCACTGTCATCCATCACCAGTCACATCCTCATGTGCAATCACCAAACAAAAATATGCATTCATTCGGAACCGGATTCGAGATACCTCTAACGCAGGTTAGGGTGCTGGAGTTTAGTGTGTGCCTGGATCGGAATGACTGGGGAGGCAGGTGGACCATGGCAGCAAGAGGTGGCTGGTGGGGTAGTTAGAATTTGGAGCATGTCTTTTATTTGCCCACTAACTTTTGCATAATGACAATTAACAGACTATCACTGGAAGAAGGTAGGCAGGTACACATTCAGAATGGCCCGTGAAGGTGTAAGCCGGCTCGCAGAATTACGATGTAACTATGTTAAACCACTACAGTCTTCCCCCAAATACAACATACGGTCATTATAGCTGAATTTAGACTGAAAGATACACCAAATTCAGCTATAATGACCGTACGTTGTATTCGGGGGAAGACTGTAGTACACAGCACCAGCCTTGCGGTCCGAAACTTGCCGGCACAAGAAAACGAGGCCGAAACGTCAAAATGCTGGGCCCGCCATTGATAAGTTGGATCGGAGGTCGCGTTTTCGTTTCGCGCTTCCAGAATTTGAGGTGTCAGGCCCGCGGCGCAGGTGCCCATGTACTGGTGCTTTAACAAGGGGAAATAACAGAAAGGGGCCATGCTTGAAACAGTTTGGCCCAAAAAGGCCGCTGAAGATGTGCCAGCCTGCAACTGGGCATCAGTCGAGAGATGGTTAACAGAGGCCTAAATTTTAAATCAAGTTGAAACATTTGTCATGCCATTTGAAACAAAACCCAAAGGCCATTTTAACCAAACTCGCCACCAATCCAGAGAGTGGACACCATGCAAAATTTGCCAACATTCCGATTTCAGAATTGTTTAGAAATTTCAGAAATGTCAGCAGAGGAAATTCCAATCACCAAAAAAAAGGCAAAAAAAAAAAAAAAAAGTAATGACTGCAAAATCGCAGACTGAGAAATCTGTTGTTGTCTGAGTATTGCTGTGTGCGGGACTGATTTGCTGAGATTCCGTGCTCTGCTGAGTGCTCGCCGATATCCCGTGAGTGTGTGACACGTGTTGATATCCCATCGTGTTGCTGTATCTCTGAGAACCCATGTGTGTGTGTGTGTGTGTGTGTGTGTGTGTGTGTGTGTGTGTGTGTGTGTGTGTGTGTGNTGTGTGTGTGTGTGTGTGTGTGTGTGTGTGTGTGTGTGTGTTTTAGATTTTCCCCACAACAGCCCCAATTCCACCCAGGTGAATAGATTCAGAATCGAAACAGTCTTTATCCTATTGCAGACAACGAGAGCATTTGAGATGTCCAACATATTAAAACAATTTTATAATTAGACAGTTTTTTGGTTGTTCTTGGGGTACCCCTTTCATTGTTCTTGCAGCTCCCCTTTTACTGTGCCTCTTACGCGCAAGGCTGCCCACGTTGATTGTGGTTGAGCGGCAGCTGCCCACATCCCCGTGTGCCTCCACGGCCCACTTGCACGTTATTTCAGGAGGCAGAGTAAAAGGGAAGGTATGCTCCTGTGCATCCCTTCAGAGCTTCATACTCCTGTCCATTTCATTTCAGATCTTCAGCTTATACAGCCTTTGTGTCCGTCCTTCATCTTCATACTTCCGTTCATTTCATTTCTGATCTTCATATCGTCTATAGTCTTAATGATGCTCGTTTGTATGTATTTGTTAGTAGTACAAAGGGAGTGGAGGGGAGGGTGGAGGGTAAGGGATAGAAGGCGGAGTTCTCTAGGAGTATGTGTGTGTGTGTGTGTGTGTGTGTGTGTGTGTGTGTGTGTGTGTGTGTGTGTGTGTGTGTGTGCGCTCGTGTGTGTGCGTGAGTGTGTGTGTGTGATGCACTGTTGAGGACCTGTGTGTTGATATGGCCCTCGGGCCGATACTTACCAGTGGGTGTGTGACTCATGGGGTGCAGCAGGGAAATTAGGGTAGGCCAGGCTCGCGGAGCTCAGAATCGTGAAGCAGGGGGTAGGGAAGGAGATATGACAAAAGTGTAGTACCCTGCGAGGCCGGGTAGGATTTTAAATTAGAAGTCCGTAGGGTTAGGGATAGGCACCAGTATGGGAGGCCTGAGTCTAGAGCCTGCGAGGAAGGGATATCAGACTGTGATGATGCTCCCGCCAAAAGTAGAAGGTACCGGTAGGTTTGGGAGGCCGCACGGCATGGAAGTGACCACGCAAAGAGGCACTAGTACAGTATATCTGGAGAGGAGGCGAAGAGTTTGTTGGCATACAGCGCGGAGGCACATTGCTGGAACAACCACATGGCTGGAGGAGCACTGGGTGGAGGAAGGAGGCGGAGCTTGGTGCCCACCTCGGCTATGGTGGAGGTGACCAAGGTGGAGGAGGGAGAAGGCCTAGATATGGCAGAGGCCTAGGAAGGAGGAAGAAGGAGGAAGGAGGATGAAGGAGGAGGAGGAAGGAGGCGGAGGAGGAGGAGGAGGAGGAGGATGAAGGAGGAGAGTAGAGGACGAGCTTACCTTGACTATGGTGGTCTACAACTTCATCTTCTTGGTTTGCGCTGCACCTAGAAGGGACCAAGTGCTGTGATACTTTGAGGAAAGACTCCGGGGTGGTTTGGGGCATGGCAGCCATAGTGGGACAAACATAGTAGCTTTGCATTGTCCTTCGAACATTGGAGCCTAGCTCCGATGGTCCACCATAGCCACCGGCTTCACCAAGTAGGAGAGGGAGGTGTAGGATGGCTATGGCGGACTTCTTGATTGGCTGGCAGTAAAGGGGAGAATTCACACATTGATCCTGTTTATTCATACGTGGTTGTTGTTGATTTCTATCATCAACAAGAAAGATCTTGGAGAGATGCTGGAGGTAGAAGGGGAAGCCGTCGAGATGAGGAAGAAGTGACATTGGTTCTTGCTTGTGTTCATCTTCCTCTTCTTCTTCCATTCTCATTTCTTCTTCCTCCCTTGTCTATTTCTCTTTCCAATCTATTTCCTTTCAGTTGCAACTGACCGGCATTGTCTTTCTTTGCCTTTTGCACTGTGAGGATACCAAGGATCATAACAAAAAGAACAACATGACATTTGACTCCCAAACCCTAATTTCGCTTTTGGACCCGTTAACCCAAAGCGCTGAAAAGTGGGGGGAGGGGGGGGGGGGGGGCGTCAACCACTTGTGCGTCAGTCGAGGCTAATTACATTTTGAGGGGAGTTAAGGACAGTCAAGGCACCCCCTGCGCATGCTGCACCCAAATGTTCACCCTCACTGTGCAGAGAGTCGTCTCCAGAACAGCACAAGCTTGCACTAGAGTAGGTATGTACTACCTTCTTCCCCCGAATACAACGTACAGTCATTATAGCTGTATTTGAGGCATCTTTCAGTCTAGATACAGTTATAAATTATAATGACCGTACGTTGTATTCGGGGGAAGAAGGTAGCGAGAGCTGCTCCTACCACCCTCTCTAGTGACCTAATGCCAGCCCTTTGCGCTACAAGACAAAAAAAAAAGAGAAGCTTGCACAACAAGAGGAGTTTGCAGGTATTCTTCGTTTCCTATCTTTCACAAGACCTGCACCAACCAAGAGGTTGTTCAACCTTCTTCTTCTTCTTCTTCTTCTTCTTCTTCTCTTTTCTTTCTTTTTTAACATCCATTTGTTCAGCATGTGATGGTGGGTTTAAATGTGCTTCGACAGGTTATGATGCTGTGTGTTTCTTTGTTTACTGATTCGCACTGTTACAAGTTGCAACTCGTTTGTTTTTTCTCTCTCTTATGATGAAGTTATGATTCCAACCT